CGCCATGACAGCATTTTAGCCCGTCATGTTGGTATTTTGGTTTATATTGACAGAACATTCTCTACTTTGACAGTCAACGTTTCTAAACGTAAACACAAATATTATCTGTCATAATCACATTCACCACTTCTAATGTGCTTCAGAGAGCTTCTGACAGCGCCATCGATCCGAAGCGTTTGAAACATTAAAGGCTTTTGCTGATTTTTTCTGGCGCATTTTCATTCATGCTATCGCCTTATGATTCGGATTCTGTTGAAATTTCTATTTTATTTAGTTCATCACGTTTCATTTCAACATAATTGGCACTTGTGAGCATTAACAACATTTCGCCGCTTCTGTTTACATTTTTCGATGCTATTTCATACATTTTAGTATAATTTCATTCAATTCAGTTGAACACATCAACAACATTCCCAAATTTTGAAAATTTAAGTAAACAGGTTCCAAATAATCTTTTGAAATACCAGAAAAAGGACTCTAATTCCTCCAAATACTGATTCAGGGAGTTTCTATATTTAAAATGCGACGAAATGGGGGTGATCCGAATAGCCCCCACCTATGATCCGATTTGCCCCCTCATGTACCGAATAGCCCCCATGTCAGGATGTCCAAACGTTGGCCCATATCTCACTACCAGGACACCCAACACAAAAAGTTTATTTATGTCAAAGATAGATTAGGAGAATAGCTTTCCAACGATATATAAAATGTGGCAACTCGTGGTCATTTTCAAGACGATATGGGTGATTTCCAAAAAGTGATCCGAATAGCCCCCCTCTCCCCTAACATGAAGTTTGACATTTGACAGATGACTTGACTTTGACGTTTGATTTTTAATAAACGTTCTTCTTGTTTTTACACTCAAACCGACTGGACGTGTTTTCAATATTTCAAGCCAATAATTTATCAAGTTATATAGAAACACGAAAAAGCAAAAATATTAGGAGAATTTTGAAGAAATACCATCAGTGAGTATTTTTGTCGACCGAATTTCCGTGAAGATTTTGTGATCGCTGCGATTTGAATTGATTGAAAATTGTCGCGTGTTGAACTGTATAGTGAAGCAAACGAACGAACGAACGAAAATGAGTACCGCCGACGAGAAATGTTCCGTAACGCAATTGAAAGAGCAAAAGCAATGGTTACCGTGGAAATTTCAAGTGAGAATTTTGCTTCGTGCGGCTGAAATTTACGATGTTGTGACAGGCACAGACAAAGAGCCAAAAGTCGGCGATGAGGGTTATGATACCACAAAACACACGGCATGGATGAAACGTGATGTGAAAGCGCAGAAAATCATTGCAACGAGTGTGGTTGACGAAGCATTGATGCATATCATGAGTTGTGAGACATCGAAGCAGATGTAGGACAAATTGCACAGTGTGTATGAGCAAAAGTCGGAATCATGTGTTCATTTGTTGCTTGAGCGATACTACGCGTTTACGAAAGATCTGAACGACGATATGGCCGCGTTTTTCTCATAATTGGATGAAATTGTGCAACAGCTCCGTGATTTGGGTGAGACATTTTTCGAACGCCAATTGATATCGAAAAAGTTGACAATTTTGCCTGCGGAAATGAGTCATTTCAGTTCATCCTGGGATTCGACAGCCAAAGGAGAGCGTTCATTTTTGAAATTGCGCGAACGGCTCATGGTCGAAGAAATACGTATTTCGAAGGCTAGTGAAGGAAATGAAATGCAACAGTCAGCGATGTAGCACGAATGACAAATTGAACGATAAAACCAAAGGAGAGAAGGGTTTTGAAGTGCTTTGAGTGTGGTACTGAAGGACATTTTCGAAGAGATTGCCCGAATTCGAACAAGAAAAATGGAAATCATGAGGCGATGATTGTCCTGAGTATGATTGCCAATGGAAGAAATGATTGGTATCTGGATTCGTGTGCCACGCATCACATGTGTAGCAACAGAAGCTGGTTCATGAGCTATCGCCTGCTTGAAGTGAAACAGGATCCTCGAGGTAAACGCCGGTCAATTGAGTGAAAACGGATTCGAATTATCGTTGAATCGAAATGGTTGCGCGATACGTAAGAATGGATTGACGGCCACAGTGGGAACTCGACACAAGAATTTGTTCGACACGATGAAAGTGAAGTCACAAGCAACAAATGTTCGACCGATTGAGAGCAAGAGAGAACCGATAGTTATTGATAGTAAAAAAATAAAAAAAATTTAAAGAAGTTAAATTTTCATTTTGTATTGGGTGTGTGCATGAGTTTTGAGGGATTTTTTTTATGAAAAGATATATTTATTTCAATAATAAAAAGAATAAGTACATTAACCAATATATTCGCCATCGTTATGACCATAGCTATGACCTCTAGCCATCTACCGGGCAACTTGTGGATTCCTTGTTTGAAGAAGTCCTCGTCTTTTGAGGTTATGTAGTCATCAACCCATTTTCGCACTTCTTCAACATTTCGAAAGCGTACTTCGGACAGGGCCATTTGCATCGAACGGAAAAGGTAGTAGTCAGAAGGAGCCAGGTCTGGAAAGTTCACAGGCTGACCTAGCCGATCCCGTCCGAAGCCCTCCTTAGAAATATTTGATTTGTTCTATGAAATGTCACTGATCCATTTTTCGCGAAAAAAAATTTTTGTGTCATGGGTCAAATTTTTGTGGTTCTGCTGTCAATAATTGATATATCTATTGACTAGATCGAGAAGAGTAAGTTCATCTGACTTTGTTATGAAAGAGAAGAGTAAGTTTCTTTCGACTCAAAAATGGTTAAAGGCGAGTATGTTCATTTTTGGCGGGTCCTCGCGGTTTTCCACGGTTTCCGCGGAACTGATAAGAGATAACAACTTGGTGTCTTCGGCAAAGTTGTAGCACTCGAGGTCTTCTATAACATTGCTGAAGTCAGTTATCGCTTATCTCTTATCAGTTCCGCGAAAAGCGCGAAAAATGATAAGAAAAAAAAGTTCTATATAAAATTTGCTTTTTTATGTGCGCGATTTGCGCGCAGCTGATGAGAGATAAGAGATAGATGTCTTCAGCAATGTTATAGAAAACCTTGAGTACTACAACTTTTCCGAAGACACCATGTTGTTATCTCCAATCAGTTGCGCGAAAACCGTGAAGACCGCAGAGGCTAGACGGTACTACAACATACTCTACTTTAACGCCAACAGAATCATCAGAAAACATACCCTCCTCTTTCAAAATATATTAGAATTTTTTCACATACTCTCCTCTCAATCTAGTCAATAGATATGCCGATTGATTATTATTAGGAACGAGTAATTCTATTATTTTGATAAATTTACGCCACCCCTACCCCCCTCCAGCCCCCAAAAATGAAAAAAAATGCATTTTTTAGTGATGAACTTACAGCGCCCTCTATAGTGACAAGGAGCAGCGATCTAAGAATGTTTTTTTCTGCTTGACTCTATCGAGAATGGTTCAATCTTCATTATTAGTGCACACTTGATGCAAGGATATCCGCTTTTTATATATTTTTCATCGTGTAAAGAAGCCCCCCACGAATTGGCGTACCAAAAAAATTTTCAATGAGAATAAAAAATTTAATTATGTTAACCTCTGCCCAGTATTTTGGACCAATTTTTATAGATTTTCGCATGATCTTCAACATACAATAGCTTAGATTATCAGAATAATTGAGAATGTATCTTTTATACATCTCTTATCAATCACTCAAAACTCATGCACACACCCAATATTTTTCAGTAGAGCCAACATTGAATGAAGAGATGAAAAGCAAAGACGTTTCGAGTGGCTCGGTACTGAAAACGAAAACCAAATGTGAAATGAACTTGAAAATGGATACGAGAAACAGAGAGAGAGATATTAGAAACTGATATATCCGAAAGATGGCATTACATTGACATTGTATATTGTACATAAACTGAAACTTCATTGTACAATGTACATTCAATAAACTCTTTCACTTCTATTTTGTACACCAAACAAGTAAGTCGTCTACTGATTTATTTCGGCCTCTCTATAAGAGAACCGCATGGCGACGAATTGAATCAACATTTTGGATTTTTGTTTTCAATTAGTTAAACTGTTTTTCGAGTAATTAGTTAGATTTAAAGTTAGATTTTTGATTCATTTGAAGTTTGAATTTAGAGAAAGTTGAATTTTCATTGTATTTTGAATTTTGTTTTGGAAATTAACTGATAGATTTGAACGAGAAAATGTATTCTTAGTTTGTAAGATTTACATTAGATTGAGAGAGAGTGTTGGAAATAGCAATCGAATTGTAAATGTGAACGCATCTTAATATGTAACATGAAGTTTGACATTTGACAGATGACTTGACTTTGACGTTTGATTTTTAATAAACGTTCTTCTTGTATTTACACTCAAACCGACTGGACGTGTTTTCAATATTTCAAGCCAATAATTTATCAATTGAGGCCGACATTAATATGTTTAACGCTCCAGTTCAGTCTATCTTTTCTCAAACGCGTTGTTAGATTACCTTGAATCGTTGACAATCGGCTTTTATTAGACATTTTCATTTTTCATTGTTTGGTCATTCGTTTATTCATAAATTTGATTATTCTTTTGACTAGTCGAGAACCAATATTTATGTAAAATTAAACTATCTATTGTTATACACTAAATTGTACAAAAATCAAAAGATCAGGTTCTTCATGACTCTTGGAGTCATTTTTCTGCAAAACTAATTATTCAGCCAGTCTTTTGGCGGAGTTAAATAAATAAATAAATAAATAAATTTAGAGAAAGTCATATCTCATGCCGGAAGCGAACACAAAACTTGTGATATCAATTTTATAAAATCATTTCGGAACGATGTATAAACTAGTTGGACGAATGCAAAATAGGCAAATTGAAATCGCTCCGAAATTATTTTATAAAATTGATATCACTAGTTTTGTGTTCGCTTTCGGCATGAGAATTGACTTTGGTAAAGTTTTTTATTTGATATTATGTAACAGATCATATTTGTTGACCTTCGAAATTTTTTAAAAATTAAAATGCTTTTATATACCTTGAAAAGCGCATTCGATCACATCTACCCCAAGATCATCGTAAATTTCTTTCTGTGAAACAATATGATGTGGACCATCACCGGACCAATATGAGTAATCAAAAGTAAAGTCATGAAATGTTGAACTAATACTGGCGCTATCTATGGATACATTTTCTGGTTTCTTCAGTAGCCGAGTTTTTTCCCCATCCATTTGAACAATACTTTTTGCATTCATTTCGCGTTCCCTGTTGACGAAAAAATATTTTAAGTCTGTGAAAATAATCGTAGTATGGTGGAGATCTTCATATAAAGAACGTACAAACAAATTGCCTAAATTTTGTGTGCACAAACTCAACAATAAAGTTTATTTATTTATTTACACCGCCAGAAAACTAGCTGAATATTAAATTTTGCAGGAAAATGAAGTCATAAAAAAACCTGATTTTTCCGTATTTATACAATTTAGGGTATTAAATGTTCCAGATCTACAGATTTACGGACAATAGCCAACGCTGTTCCTTCTCTTCATTGTCGCCAACTGGTGTTAGCAACTAAACTACGAACAAAATGTCAAAATCAATGTCAAATTAGTCAACAGAAGAGTGAAGAAGTACATATAATGTGTTTGTAGTTTACTTGCTAGCACCAGTTGGCGCTTCGGGGATATTTTATATGGGAACTGTCAAGAAACCGCAGTGTTGGCAATAATATATAATAATTTTCATGACTCTTGGAGTCATTTTCCTGCAAAACTAAATATTCAGCCAGTTTTTTGGCGGTGTAAATAAATAAATAAATGAAATATATAGTTTAAACCATTTGGTTTGTTACAATGGGAAATACCGTATTTTGAATTTGAGCAAAATTATTTTATAACAAACGGAAATTTTCATCCGATTATGACAGCTGTCATCGTAACATGTCTATTTTTTCTTCAATACTCATTTCGTCTATATTTTTATTTAATTTTAAACGAGCGTCTATAATCATTAGGTTATATATTATTCTGTTCTTTAAGACCTCCCTCGTCATAATTTTATCAAAATTCGTTTCCAAATTTGTTTTTTGCCGTTTTCCTTCTGTGCCAAATTTTATTTTCGTGTTTACGTAGATACCTAACCTATCAAAGTGACGTGCACAGATTGCATTGAATCAAAAGAACACCTCGTTGACATCAAAACAAAACTTGCTCGGATAATTAAAATGCTGGATGGACTGAATTTGTATCTCACCACCATGCCACCCGCACCAATTCCAACTGACGATCAACATAAAGTTGTTGACTTGGACATGGATACAAGTGAATCGGAATCAATTGGCAACTCTTTGTCAATCGCATCACTAAATGCCAATAAGACACTGGGGAACAGATCGACCAAACGAAAAAATGAGTCGAAAATGACAAAACCGGACTCACGCGAAGCCAAGCAGCGAAAAACGGAAGACAGGAAAACTCTCGTCGAAATGGTAGCCACGAATATTTCTGTCGATTTGCCAAAAAAAAATCAGTGCTACTTAGCCCAATTACCACCTGATCTCTTTACGTTGCTCCCTCCCATCCGGAGACCATTCCATCCGACCTTAAGGACATTTTGGAACACATCGGAAGTTTCACTCATCTTGTTGGTGGTATCTGGTTGATGCCGCAATAAGTCGTCTGATTGAAAGCGAATTAAGTGATGAGGCGCATAACTCACTGAGCATAACTATTGAATGTGAACCAAATACTTATTCTTGCGAGAATCAGCAAAACCAAAACTACTGCTTTCGAAAAGCTAATTATGAGGCAATTCACGAAGAACTGGCCTTGATCGATGTTGGGTCGGTTCTATCAGCGGATCTGGATATTGACACAATGTTGGATAATTTCTACAAAATCTTGTACGGAACAGTAGAGAAGAATGTGCCAAAGCATCGCTCCGAACAAACAACCATCCACCGTGATTCAACAAAAATCTCACAAACATAAAAAACATTCGCAACCGTCGATATAGAAAATTGAGTGCACCTAAGAAGTTAGACCCGAACGCAAATGATACGAAATTCAAAGAAGCTGACAATGAATTTCAAATTCAACACGAATTGGCACACGAAAACTATATACGAGACATTGGCGAAAACTTTTGGTCATTTGTTGGGAAATCAAACTCACTACCCGGCAAGTTAACGTACCATGAAAATTCAGCCACCTCTGATCAAGACAATGCCAACTTATTCGCCGAATTCTTCAGCTCGGTATACATTGAGATACCGAAGGACGATGATCTGCAAAACTTTATCAAAAATCGAAACGAATCGAACTGTTTTAAGATTCACATAACACCAGAAGTGGTTTGGCATGCTCTAAGCATCATGGAGCTTAACAAGGGACAGGGACCCAATGGATTGCCTCCATTTTTCTGCGGGAATGCGCTGATGTTTTGGCAATCCCTCTGAGTATAATTTTCAACCACTCGATTTTGACTGGCAAGTATCCCGACATTTTTAAAATTGGTCGTATCACACCAATCTTTAAATCGGGGAATAAATCGGATATTGCGAACTACAGAGGCGTTACAATTATGTACAACTTAGCATACGTGTTTGAAAAAGTTATATACAACCAACTAAGAATGATTATTGTACCAAGGCTCTCAAAACATCAGCATGGATTCGTGTCCAATAGGTGTTGAAACTAATCTCATGGAATTTAATGCATTTGTACACGATGCCTTCGAAAAGGGATACCAAGTAGATGTGTTTTACGCTGACATTAAAAAGGCGTTCGATACAGTCAGTCAACCCCAATTAATTCGAAAAATGGCGAAATTCCCAATCAGTAATGAGTCACTCCAATGGCTAGATTCATACACATCAAACAGAAAACAGTTTGTTAATATTGGTTCATCATCGTCCGAATCATTCTTAGCACACTCAGCAGTTGGACAGGGAACCATCTGCGGTCCGTTATTATTTCTAACCTACTTCAACGATTCGGATGATAACAACACAAATATTGGTGTCTTTAATTTCGCTGATGATAAAAAACAGGTAGCTCTTATCAAGTCACACGAAGACACAAAGAAACTGCAACAAGCTATTGATAACTTTGTCGAGTGGTGCGAGGAGAATGGTCCCGAACTGAACATTAAAAAATGCCAAATAATGACATTCTGCCGTAAAAGGTCAGTTGTCAAAGCAGACTATACTATCAAAGGAGAAGCAATAAGTAGAGCTGAAGTGGTGAAGGACCTTGGAGTAACAATGGATCGCAAGCTGAGCTTTGTACCACACATGGAGTACGCCAAAAAGAAAGCCAAAACGATGTGAGCTTTCGTCAAAAGAGAGTGCAGTCATTCAATATCGACATAGCGAAAATATTATATGTCTCTCTGGTAAGATCACACCTTAAATTTGCCAGTGTGATATGGAATCCGTCAGAAATAACCCATAGAAAATTCATCGAAGGCGTACAAAAGAATGCAGTAATTTTCTTACGCGGAGATAAACCATAACCGCCAAGAAAATAACTATTTACTACCACCGTATGACGAGAGGCGAGCTGAGCTAAATCTCGATACTCTGGTTAGGCGAAGAATCAACGCATCGATACTGTTCATCAAGAAAATAATATCCGGCCAAATGGATTCACCTACACTGAGGAGCAAATTGAATCTTAACACAGGCGTATTCGTACATTTCGTAACCCAGAATTCGTCAGACTTAGGTGCTCATCAACGGAATATGAACTTAAAGCCCCTCTAGACTATGCATGCCGGGCATTCAATTTTGCTGCACTATTTATTGACCCAACGTTACCGTTTTTCAAATTTAGAAAAAAGCTACTAAAGCTTCCAGATTCCGCATTTGGTGATCTAACAAGACTGAGAAGTAGCCAATGAGTTACAAAACCAATGATATATGAAACAGATCGAATTGAACTATTTAACTATTTATATTTTTATTTTTATCTCTATTTTAAGAGCTATTTATTTACCTTTTGTATATTGGAAACAATTATATTTTATTTTATATTGAACTGAACTGAACTGAACTGATCCAAACTAACTTAGCTATTATGTAAAACTGTTTTTTCAAACGGACAATTCTCTTTATACTGCAAAAACTTATAAAAACTTTCGTGAACCTGAATCGTCAGCTTATTTGAGCAGACGCTAAAATGAATAAATAATAACAAATAATCAAGGTAATTGGTATTGCACGTAAAAATCGAAAAGTAACTTTTCAATTGTTCAAGATCAACATTCCGAGTGGATGTATCACTATGAACTGTTTGCAAATTCATCCATCTGGAATGAGGGAGAATTCATAGTGAAAGAGTTTGAACAGCGCAGCCGTGCCAGAAAATCGAAGAAATTCGTGCGGAAGGTTTCTTCAAAAGTCCATTACTCAGCTTTGAATGGCCAGTTGAAGTCAAAATACGGATTTGACAACAGAAACCAGCCTACGAAATCGAAGACAACGGCAATTTTTCAGGCGAGCAACAGGAAAACGATGCGCTCGCGCCCAAGCTCAAATCATTGCCCAAAGAGTCCGACTTCGGAATCACGCAAATCATTGCTCAAAGATTTGCTTCGTCATTCCATGTCCAAGTCAACAACTTTATGTTGATCGTCAGTTGGAATTGGTGCGGGTGGCATGGTGGTGAGATCCAAATTCAGTCCATCCAGCATTTTAATTATCCGAGCAAGTTTTGTTTTGATGTCAACGAGGTGTTCTTTTGATTCAATGCAATCTGTGCACGTCACTTTGATAGGTTAGGTATCTACGTAAACACGAAAATAAAATTTGGCACAGAAGGAAAACGGCAAAAAACAAATTTGGAAACGAAACTTGATAAAATTATGACGAGGGAGGTCTTAAAGAACAGAATAATATATTATCAGATAAAAAAACCTCTAGACGAGGTTAAAATGGAGTGACGCTCCTGTAAGTGGATTAAACACTAAAAATAACTGATATCATTTTGAGTGACGCTAGGACGCTGTATTATAACTGGGTACGAAGTTCAAAAGTGTTTTTCGCATTCACTATTGTGACAATTTATTTACAATAAGGAAAAATATCGCGTCACGAATTTTTAATTTAGTCTCCAAGTCAAGCTTTAAAGCGTTTTGCCGTTCAAAAGTCGTAACGCGATATTTTTCCTTATTGTGAATATATTTCCACAATAGTGAATGCGAAAAACACTGCATATGGACATTTTTATGTATCCCCCGAACAAAAGTTCAATTTCATACATTCA